GGGCTAAAATTGGGGGGGGGGGGGGGGGGGAAGAAAAAAAAAGGTTTTTTTGTACTTGGATCAATATTTTCCATATGCAATGCTTCTCACAAGAAAGGATGCCAAGATTTTGCCAGAGTTGTAAGCAAGCAAGAGCAGCAGATGGTAGCTGGAATTTTTCCAGATTTAAAAATGAAACACTTTCTACCCTGAAACAGAAACTGCATTAGATTCTGTTGCCTTTGCCACTAGATTGCATTGGTTCAGATATGTTTACAGCAAGCCCTAGGCTTTAAACTAAAGCATCTTTACTTTTTTTCCTCTTTTTTTTTTTTTAAATGGGTATAATTTAAAATCTTCTATCTACTACTACATTAGTAGTAACTTTATTTTTTCAGTAAATGGGAATTTCTCAAATGCTTTGAAGTTTGACTTAACAAAATTACTTACCAAGCTGCTGACATACAACAGTTTGTGTCTTAGTTTCGTCCTTCCTATCCAGAATTGATCCCACTGTTCCCTGCACATTAAATAAAAAAAACCCAAAACATTATTTCAACATGAAAAATTTCAGACAGTAGTGGATTTTTGACATTGAATTATGCTGCTAAATAAAATCTTTAAACACAAGAGAAGTATTACAGGAGAAGCTCCCAGCTTTCTATTAGCTGAAGAAATTTCTCACCTTTGCAGCTTTAGGGATCTGGTCCACGTACTGAGGTTTAATGATAGCTTTCAGGTCATCTTCCAGGATTTTGGTAAAATAATTTTGTAATTCAGATCCTCGGAAATAAGTCAAAATTTCTTGCCAGTCAGGTGGATCCTGTGACAAAATTAAAGCCTGTGTTTACTTACACCATTCTAAAAACATCACCAAAAATATCTAATTTTAAAATTCCAATCAATACAGCAAATAGAATATGCTTGCAAGATTTAAAAAAAGCCTGGATAAAAGCTAGTTACCAAACTTATGTTGCCTCTGCAAAGTTTTTAAAAAAAAAAAAATTATAAAATTGCAAAATGGAAGGCAGAAGTTTAGATTTTTTTTTTTCCAGGTGCACTATCACTAGCCCTTTCCAGAAAAAGCATTTTAAATTTGCACCTAGGATATCCAAAACTGTCCTCAGACAGTTAAGAAGCAATGAGTGAAACTACTTCATGGGGAAAATTATAGTATGGATTAGTGCAACTGCACTTATTAGCTATCTGATCCAGCCAATCCAAAGGAAAAGGAACTTGCACAAAAGATGCAATAAAATTTGGTCATTTTCTCCACTTCTAGCAACATTTCCAAGAAAACAGAAGACGACAAAGGAAAAATGACAAAAAAAAGAAGGAACTGTTCAGAGCAATCACCCAGGAAATGTCCCAACTTGTACAGTTTTGTTTTACACAGCATACTACTCTGAATGGTGCTGAGTTAATTATTTTGATGGTAAACAGTACGGAAACAGAGTGACAAAGCCATATTTCCAAACCAAGCAAATACACAGAGGAAATGCTTCGTAAGTTTTAGAGCAGAAGCAACATGGAAGATTCAATTCATACCACGTGTTTCTGTGGTCATAATGATTTGGCTCTTCACAGGAAAGTCTGATTTTGGAAGCATGGTAATTCAATTAAGTACACATTCAGAAAGTCAAAAGTTTTGCTATTTCTGCAATACTACCACCTGAAACAAGAAGTCCACAAAACAATATAAACGAAACTTGAAAGTGAATGGGAAACGTAGCTGGGAAATGATTATTTCTTTGCAGTTTTAAGTGGCAGCCATGACACGAACAATTTATTAAAACATTACTCTTTCAGGTAAAGAAACTGATGAAGAAAGTTTGAACACACTTGTTCCTACAAGTCCTTCCTGAAGGACAAAAGTAAGCATCAGAATTCAAGTGTCACCGCGTGATTTGAAGATGAGAAGGTGATAAATGAAATACTGTCCGATAAGAAGAGTCACAATAGTTATTATCTATGTATTATCTAATAATGTTCACTCTTTGGAGTACTGCTAGGTAAACAAACCCCTGTATATTATTTTGCTTGCTGGCTGCACAGTTTGACTTAGTGTAAATACATAGGAAAATGGATTGTGATCTCCCATGAAGACCAGCAGATTACAAGTTGTTCTATGTCTGGTTCTCAAAAAATGCTATAAAAATTTCTAAGTACCTAGCAATATAAAGAAACTAAGGATTTTCAGGACTCAGTATTAAAGTGTAAATTGTTGTTGAAGATATTTCCCACTGTACAATAACAACATATTAAGAGATCATCTTCAAAAGAATCAAAGATAAAAAAGCCTAAGAGATCACAAGGATACGTGGTAAGCGCTCATAGACACTAGAGCTGTTCAGACAAAAACAATATTGAACTGAGAAGAAACTCCCAAACTTGAGCTACCTAAATCCCTTGATGGGGAACAGGTAAATTGTGCCAGAAAAAGAGCTGAGATTTTAAAAGACTAGTATAAAAAAACCAAAACACCCAAAACCTTAAGCGTGACTTAAAGACAGAAACCTGATACTTATCTTTAGTGAGTTACAATTATAATTAGTATCCTTCTCTTTCTTGAAAGATATACAGAATTTGCAAAAAAGCCTTTGTTAACGACATCCTTCTACTACTGTTTCTGTGTGGAGTAGGTCACTGGCTGTTAATAAGGAAAGTGCCAATGCCCTTGCAAATTCTATTACGTTCACAGACACGAAAATTCAGCAAAAAAAAGAATATAACGACAGCTATCTATAATGCCAACTCTATTTTATTGTTGATACATACATCATATTTTCCAAGATTTGGCTTCTGTTTTCCTGCTAAAATTTTCAAGGCAGTTGATTTTCCAATACCATTGGTTCCAACCAATCCCAGTACTTCACCTGGACGAGGGATAGGCAACCTGTACACAACATCGATAACTCTGGATTACATTAATGCCATTAGACACCAGCATCTGGTGGTAAAGTAAATGTTACAACCTGTGTTCAGACTTTCTGATTATTTCAGCCTACTTTGTTAACTTGCCAATATATAATTCAAGTTAAATCAATAGTCCTTAAAATTAGAAGATCCTAAGGAAGATTTAAGAGCAGTCTGTTCTTTAAACAGAAGGTCTGTACAATGAGAACTATAATTTTATTTCATTATAATATGTTTTCATAAGAAAAAAGTAATTAACATTCAAAAAGGAAGCTACTGAGGTAATAACCAAGAACACCTTGATGTGCACTATGTTTAGACTATCAAAAACTTGGAACTTTTTTTTTTTTTAACATTGATTTGAAAAATAAAATACCTGTGAAGTTTGAAGGCATTGGCACAATATCTATGCGTTGTTTCTTTCTCCAGGTTGCTAGGTAAGTTAACAATTGACAAGGCTCCAAAAGGACATTTCTGTAATTGAAATTAAATTTATAGATTACTAGTGCATACAAACAATTTAACAAACTGCTATGTTCTGTACTGCACCCAGCTGTGCATTTAAGTACTTTTTAAAAGAACTTTTACCAAATTACTTCACTTTCATTTACATAGTCAACTTCAACAAGAAGTTCTATACCACATTTTTTAAATTAAATAATTAGCAATTTAGACCGTCCATCTACAATAGAAATAAGGCACACTGCGTGTATTCTCTAGCTCTTTTACAAAAACATCTTTCTACTGCTAGGTGTTCATAGCCACAAACAAACAAAATCAAACAAAATCAAAGCCACAAACAAAAAGTTACAACCCACACCCTCCAACCCAACCAGTTCAGTAAACTGACATAGTACTTCACTTTCTATAAACAATAACAGTTAGCAAGGTCTAATTATTCAGGGAAACAAAATTGCCTTTTGAAGTTACAGTATGCATTACTAAATATAATAGCATAATAAGGGAATTTCATCACTTTAAATAAAGCAGCCTAACTTTTACCTTGATGCAAATACCACAACCAATACAAAGCGTTTCTGAGATCCATGCTATTTTGCTCTGTGATGTGACTTCTATGCAAAGTTTTCCTGGTGAAAAAGAATAAGATTAACTCAAGAAAGTTTCTGATGAATCAGAATTCTTGCCAGTACTACTAAATTCCACAGGGGAACATGTAACTGATTAACATTCACTGAAGCTTCAGATCATCCAAAGACCTGAAAAGTGGCATTATTACTATGAATTGTTTATGCTTTCAAGTGATACTTCTAAAGGCTTTAGGAAAGAAAGCATGAATGATAAAACAAAAAACTAGCAATTATAAAAAACTAGTTCCTTCTCATAGGACGTTATTTAAAACTTCTCCAATTGCTTAAATACTTTGTTAAACTACATCTCTTACCCATTCGAACCACAGGACAACTCTTCTTGCATTCTTGACGGCATTTCTTTGGCTTACACTTGTCATGGTTGACAATAGCAATTCTTGTTAATTTGTCTGCCATAATGCACAATTCAGGGTTAAACACGTACAGCAATTATGAGGAGGAATGGTGGGAGTCTTCCAGACCTTAAGAAAAAAAAATCCGAAAGATAATATAATTACTGACAGCACAGAGAAGAACATACGTATCTGAAGTTATTATTAGCAGAGTTCAGAGATGAAAAAAGCAAAATGATTTAATCTTTTTCCTTTTAAGCAAGATGGCAAACAGGGCAGTCTCAGATACAAGTAGTAAGGGTACTGATGTGTAAATAACTGCACGAATCTTTAACACCAGCTTTCCGTTCCATTACTATTTCTCCACTGTAAAATAAAAACTGGGATTATATCTGGGAATGTATTTGTTTCCAAGAAAAGCATGTTGTAGTAAGAACAGAAGAACTTATACTGCTGCAAATTTCAGTTCCACAAGCTGCTTTGTGTAAAGTAACCTTGTTCATGCTACAGTGTCTGGTAAAGTCAAATCATGACTACAACTATTACTCCAAGAATCCGGCTATAATACTCCTTTTGAAAACTGTATGTATTAAATGATTAAAATAGTATAAAATTTAAACCAGTTTTCAAGGCGAAAATTTGTAGCTGCATATAAAAAAGTAATCCAGGCAATGTGAACAGACATACGTGATGATGTTTGATTCTTCTATCTTCAGTTTCACTAGTATTGGAATAACTACACTTACATTCTGCATTTCCTAATATGGCATCAATGTCTATAATACATTCCAATAAAAATAAACAAGATTCTTTAAAAATTACTTTATTTTTAGAAGAAAAAGCTCTTGGAGTACTAGACAATTAAATAGTCTTGAAATCACAAATCAAGGCACTCGAAGAAGTGAAATTACTACTTGTGTTCCTCTACATAACTGTCTCTTCCCTTGCTTAGATATTTGTAATGCACATTGACAAGCACTGGATTGTACTGGGAATTTATGTCAACAACTGTAGCAGAAGGGAGGGAAGAACAAAGAATTTTAAATTTAAGTCTTGAAAGATAAAAAAAGGTGGAATGTATTTTTAAGTGCTTTTATATTTCCTTTGCCATATTCACACATAGTACTGAGAACAATGGTAATAATGACTTTATCTTCCTATGAGCAACACACACGTAAGGACAGCTCCCTCTATTTGCTCCTACTCCAGAACAAAGACAACTGAATTATGAGGCTCTTGGAAGTTTACAAGATATTACAGATGACAAATAGATTTTTTTTTTTTTTTAGGTCTAAAGAAAGACCATAAAAAAGTACAAAGCACTTCCAGTTCAACACCACTAAATAAAGTGATGGCTGCCCTACAGATCATGCCAATTCAAAATCATTTCAATTCAATACAATACTTATCAGTAGTTCAAAGATGTAGCTGGGACGGAGTCTTGAAATACTTCAGGTTTCCACACCGTCTGCACATGCACTTCCTTCCAAGAAAAGGATTCCAACATTTCTTATTAAAGAAAGTATTTTCTGTTGGATGCCCAGTTCATCTTTGCTCCACTAAAGTATCCTGCAGTGGTTTAGAGACTGTTTATTACATACGGCTATTATATGAAGAAAGGTCTTGGCTTTCAATCTCCTGAGAGAAGCAGGAATAAAATAGGTGTATGGCACATTTATCACGTTATACTCCATCCCTCCCTAAACCCACCTGTGAACTTTAGTTGGAAGGAATCCTACTGACACTACTGTAACACAGAAGAAAGGAAGAGACTGGCATCTAACAGGGAACAAAGGTCAGAAATGAAGATGCTATTGTATCTTTAAAGCCATTATTACACAGTTATGAATACTCTAAGTGGTTCCTTTTAAAAGTGGTAGTCTTATTTCTCTTTTCAATTTCCAAAGTATTTTTAAATTCATGTCTAAAGACATTCTTCATCAGATATAAATGAACGTAATTATTAGTCATGCTTCCAACCTTATTGCGGCAGTTTCTGCTTTTAATATTTCAATTTTTTTTCTTTAATCTTTTAACATTTCCTAAGCCAAAAAGTCCTAATAACTTAGTTGGATGTTTTCAATAAATGATTGAATATTTTAAAAAAATTTAAGAAGTGATTTTACAGTTCTGTATCGGCAGACCAGATGGACAAAGTATGGCTGAACATTGCAATTACATCTATAGATCAGGCCAACAGACATGGAATCATGGGTTTGCAATTCTCATGTTAATACATTTTTCTTACATAAGAAAATAAGAAACTGAAAGTCTTATTCTTAAAAACTACCAGGATGTTTGAGTCAGGGTAATAATGTTCTAGGAGACAAATACTGGATATTTGTCAGTGCTTGAAATAAAGATACATTCTTTGGGAACATGTCCCAGTGCTTTTCACGGAAGTCCTGTAGTTTGCAGTGCACAGAGTATTTGGGGGTGAATCACTCACTCTCTCTTTGGCTTCCCAAGGGAAGTGCCTAATCTGGGTCAGCCATTTCTCCAACAACGCCTGTGTGACCGAGTACCCTGAGCAGACAGACCACACTGCCTATCTTCTGGGCAAGGTTCTCCCTGCTAGTGATCGTAGCTCTAACTAGCATGTAAACTATTTATTTGGGTTACAAAAGCACGCTCTAGAAGACAAAGCTGCCATACTTCAGGAGCTTGCCCCCCCTGTCCAACCTCCCAAACCTCTGGTCGAGGTTACTGCCTGAGCAGTACAGATAGCAGACCAAACTCTCCCCTCAGCTATCCAACCTTCCAGTCTGGTGTTCCGCTTAAAGTGGGAGTGTGGGGTGGGGTTTGCTCTAAAAGACTGAGTCAAATATGGCTTGAAACAGTTATTGCCACCTACCTCAGCAAGCTTTCCGCCCAGTCTTGGTGGGATAATCAGGCTAAAGTTAACACTACTACCCACTGCTGAATCAGACTGTGGTTGGTAAGTAATAAAACAGGCTAAGATTGTTTTTTTCTTTTAACTTACTTATACGGGGAAAGTGCCTGTCTGTGGTAAAGAGCTTTGAAGGGGCCACAGAAGTAAGCACACCAAGCATTTATACACTACTTGGTGGGGGGGAATAGAACTAATGAACTGGCATGGAGACATACACTCACTCATGCCTCCCTGCTCCCATCTACATGATAGAAGTGTCAGTTTATGCAAAACCCTGCAGTGGTCTTAAACCATTTTCAGTAAAAAATATTAGTGACTTCTGTCACTTTTGCAGTATCTCCAGGACTGTCCTGATGTCTATGATGATAATTGTCCACAAGAGAAAATACTAATTTCTACTTAGAACTGACAGTCTAGAGCAAATTAAACAACACTGTCCAAAACCAGACTGAACTCAAGTTACGTATTTTATATGCCATTACTTTGGTGGCATTTAACTTAACATACGAAATAGGATCACCTGATTTCAAGGTGCAGACAGCAGAATTCTCAGTACACTGAACACAGGTCAGCAACACATACAATATGCATACACTACAATACAGCATACCAGTAATTGTTAAGTATAGTCAGCAGTTTAAGGGCAGGAGAAACTGGTATTCAGAAGCATTTAAGTTCATGTCTGTATTTCTGCTTTCCAAACCAAGAAGAAGAGAACAAAAACAAAGTGCAAAAATATTATTTTGCTACTAACTACAGATCAAAGCATTATTTTCAATTAGGGAATTCTAAAAGTTCTGAAGACTTTAACAGTATCATTTATTGAAGCCAAAAGCTGTCCATTAAGTCCAATTATGACACTTAATACAAACACTAAAACATGTCCAAAAATAAGACACAAAACATGTTATCACAAGCATTTTAAGTCAGTGTTCTTAGGCTCTCTGACACAGCTGCTGCTATCTTTGACACTCCAGAAGAAATTAAGAAAAAAAAGCATGTAAGCAACCCTTGCTACTGGTCACAAAAGGTAACAGCTATGTACAGTCTGTAGAACAAATGTAATGTACTTGCATTAAGAAATACCAATATTTCTTTCTTTCACAGGCATTAGAGTTATATTAGAATTTACTAAGTCAAATCAATTGTGACCAAGAAGGATTTGTAATTGCATTGAATTATTCAGACTTAAACAAAGAAACATAAAAAAAAGTAAATGAAGACTGAAACATAACCAGAGACAATTCAACTAAATGATGTGAAGGCGAAATGTGTGTTCAGAATTGAGCCACACTTCAGTTACTTTGCAGAAAAGCAGTTAACATTTTCTACATTACATTGCATCAGACCTCAAAGATAAATATTGTGGAAAGAAGTGAAAATGAGTAGCGTTTGCACTTTCCTCTGAAAATAATTAACCTCAAGAATTACCTCTCAATCCACTGCTAATGGACTACGTACAGTCACTCCATAACAAGAACAAGAAAGTTAAGAACTAGAATACCCAAAGAAAATTTAAATGAAAGACAAAGAACAGATTTGCAAATTGCATATGGGAGACCACTACATTTATAAGTGTCAAAGCAGATGTAACAGTAAATGCTACAAGTACAAACGAGATCTACTAAGTATTAAGAACTAGTCTATGCTTAAGATTTTGACATTTTAGAAACTGAGACAACATACAAGAAGAAGTTTAAACAAGCCCCAAACCTCCCTACAGTACTTAACTCATTATATTACTCATAAGGCATGACATGAATATGAAAATAAATACAATGTTAACATGAAAAGCATATGGTCAAATATACTGACGCAGCATAACGAGTGGGTGTGTTTAGCTGGTGCTGAACAGTATTAATTATCACTCAATCTTTAATATTTCCTTTTAACATGAAGTAAAATGCACGGGAATAAGCCCATAAATTAGCAATCTACCACATGAAAATTACAGAAGTATTTCACGACCACTTGGTTTAGGACTAGAGTTTAAGAAACTGTAGCAGAGCAGCTTAAATTAGAACTTGAAAACTCTCACAGGAACTTGCAGGTGAAGCAACAATGTTCATTCCAGAGAGGAAACAGTACCACAGTCCTAGAGAAAAGCCCTGCTGAGTTTTTGTTTAGTTTTTATACGTATCTTGTAAAAAACCAACCTTATCCTATGGCCTTCTCAAATCTGCAAGAAGTCTTGATCTCCTCACCACACAAGCATGCACGTGGATATTAACTTTCCCCCCAAATAAGGCAAAACATGGCAAAACATGGCATTTTCCTCCAGCAGAGGAAGTCCCCTGCTTTCACAGGAGTAAAATACCGGGTTTCCCTTCCCCGGTCCCCACAACACGAGGAGCCCGCGCAGGTTCTCCACACCAAAGCGGTTCCTGCGGCTGAACGCAGCCGCAGAAGGAAACGTTTTCCTTACACCCCGCTGCTGCTGCACGGCACAGAACGGCTAACCAAAAAAAAAAAAAAAGGCAAAGCACTGGAAGATGACGTGCAACTGGCCAGAGACGACGAACTGCATGTGTGGGCAGTGCCAGCCTGGGAAGGGACGGCCTCCCACCCACCCCACACGGGCCCATCTTTCTGACCGGGCCATGCCCACGCCGGGAGCGAGTCCCCGACTCGAGGGAGCGTGCGGCCCGGCTCCATTCGAGCCGGGGACGACGACGACAACGACTTCAGGGCGGCTCGGCGC